AAGTGGGGAGAGTGTCCCTTTTGATTAAGCGTTTTGGATGAGGCTGTGGTGGGAGCCTGGCACAGGTTGGCATGGTGCCTTCGCTGCGCTGCAGGTCTGTGGGCCTGCTGGTAGATCCCTGTGGTGGAGAGTTCACACATCTTCAGTCACTCACACCACATGTAGCCGAGGCAAATGGTCGCAGTTATCAATTTACTGCAACCAAACATGCTCTATGGTATCTCATAATATGATTTACAATCAAAACATTAAATCCTGCAGATAAAGAAAGAACATTTTCTACCAACAGTGCAGAGCTAAATGAGTAGCTGCTGTTACTTTTTAATGTGCTTAACTATCAGATAAAGGTCAATAAAGACAATAAAGAAAGCAGCAGAGAAAACTTAAAAGAAAAAGTTACAGAATCTGTCCTAATAACCGCAAAACTTTTCAGACAATAATTACAAGCAGCTGAATCTGAAAAAAACATTCTTGTCAGCCTCCTAGTTTCAATTCCTAGTCAGAGATTATCGGGAAAAATGCCTGCAAAACCACGACTGGCAGTTACATCTAAATAAGAAAGGCTGAGATACAGTGAGCACAGATGGATGATTGAATATTCTATAGCTCGAACCAAATCTACTATTGTTTACAACAACAAACAGCAGTTCTCCTCAAATATTCCTTTTTCCAGTAAAGTTCATTAAAAAACTTCAAAATCATACTTCAGCTTTCATAGAACAAAAAGGCGATCAATCGTTTTTCATAAGAATTGTTAGGTTGTTTAAATACGGTAGTGTAAAGGCTAGCTGTGGTGGAAACCGACACTACCAAGACAAAATAAATGGACACTTTCCTTTATTGTTTATTATCTATTTTGGCTACATTGTGTGAATGCAGCATTAGAGATAATTTGCTAATATTAGCACGGCAACATGCTAAACTAAGGCAGCGATCGTGGTAAACACAGCAGTTAAACACCAGCATGTTTAGCACTGCCTGTTAGCATGCTAGCATGGCTGAAGACTCTCAGTCCAGTTAAGATGCGGCCTATTCTCTAACTCTGCATTTGGATTCATCTCCACTTTAAGTGTGATTATTGGCTGAGAAACATATCATTTGTTTGCTGCCTCTGGCTGTTAACGCTATCATACATGGCACTCTAATAAAAGGGTCCTGACTTTATCCCAGTCCAGAGCCCGTAACTGGTAATAAAACACCTCATTTCTAACAACAATGCAGACCAAATAAGCACTGACTGCCAAAATGTTTCTATTTAAATGTGTTAAATTAGAAGATTAAGGTCAACAAGGGCATCCAGATTCTCAGAAAAGGACTTTCTAAAATATCTGCCAGCACAAAAGCTGCTTTTAAACTCTTTTAAACAGAGAACTCAAAAGTAATTACTTACATTTCTTTAATATATGGCCAATTCTTCATTTAATCTGTTAAAAACTACTGGACCAAATTGGATACAGAGTGAATCAAGTGTAATGAATGGCCAAAATACATCCAAAACCTTTGTAAGTATCTCCACAGTTTGCTGCATCTGTCTGTTACTGCCAACATGGCACGGTTATATGGCATGCTGACTTTCCATCCCAGTACTTCCAGCACCTCTAACAGCTAACGAAAGAACTGGGACCAATAAGCAGACTCCAGGTTGCCAGTCAGCACAACAAACACATCCAGAGGCAGGCGGCAAACCATCAGAGACTGGAAGTCAGAACACGTACAGGAAATTAGACAGGAAACTGCGGCAACACTTGACAAACAACAGAAGGTAATCTGCCCGTTACATACACAGGGACTAATGAGCTGATGAGCAGTCAGATGATGATCAGGTGATCAGTGACAGCAGTTAGTGGGCAGGTGAGGCATGGCAGTAACAGGAGAGGGTTACACAGAGGAGCTGGAGGACGAAGGAGCAGCTGTCGCCATGACAGCACCGCCGCCTGCCTGTACATTTTCCATGGTGACAGATTACAGCATCTGCATGCTCGAGGCTTCATTTCTACCTGCGCACGGCCTCCACCTGTAGATCTGATCCACATAATGGGAGCAAATTAGGCTGCAGGTTTTGTCTGTTTTGTATTTATCGCATTACTTTTCGTATTAAAATGATTTATTTCTATTATCTTCCACACTTTGTATGTGTCTTCTCCTCACATATATCCTCTCCTATAACCTGGAGAACTAGGAGCAGATATTTCTTGATGCTATTAAGTTCTGGATAATTTTTCATACTCTACAAAATGAATCAGCAACAGCAGCTACGATACCCCCACAGTTCTTTTTTTCAACCCCCCTTAAAATTTTCTCAATTTTTCTTGTGCAGCAGTTTTACAATCCATTTGCTTCCCTTAATAGAGTCTCAGGCTGCTCATTTGCAAGAGATGCCCCGAAACTCTCGGCTCAGAAGAGGTCCCACTGCAACAGTCCCAATGTGAACTTTCTCAGTGCTGCTCAACATCATTTTAAAATCAATACTAATTCCAGTAAATACAAAAATACATACACATTTGCAGGTGCTTCGGACCGGCCCTTGGCTGAAAATGAAAAAAGACAAAAACAGATAAACAGAAATCCCAAACCAATCCAATCATAACTTCCAGGAAGCTTCAGTTCCATTATAGGGAGCCCTGTACATTGCAGCAGCATGCTGAATCAGCACTTCCCGGGGGTTATTTCTCATAAGGCTTGTGTAGTGAGCGTCGGGGACCTCGTAAATATCCCAGCTGCACAGCCAGAACAACACAAGTCTCGCTTCACTGCACAAAACATTAATGCAGATTCTTTCCCATCAGGGATTCTGCTCAGATTTTAATCAGCATGCCATTTGTAGAAAAGGTTTCTTTTGCAAAATGAGCACTGTATCATATCGTATCTGGAGGAGGCCGTACAGGTAAAGAGCATGCTGACACAGGCGGTTATCATCACCGACGCAAAAGACCTAATGTCCAGCAGTTCACTTCTGCATGACCTTTAGAAAAGGAGATATTTCTTGTCCTGACACTTTCCATAACAGATTCCTTTCCGACCCTCCCCTCAGGATGAGGGATGGCGACTCCTCGCAGACACAAAGAGAGGTGAGCCACCGACTAAATTCCCATACAGATTAAGTAAAAGTCTGAGCAAGAGGGCAAAGTGCATTCAGTGCAGAAAGAGGATTGAATAGAATACATACCAAAGTGCATCCTGGTTAAATCCCTTGATGGAGGGCGTTTAAGGCAAAATAACAAAAGCTTCTGATCAGTGCAGCTTAAAGGAAATCCATTACTGGGGGCTAAAATGCCTGTAATGTCCCTATAGTGCTGTAAATTCAACTGTACCGCATCACATGTTCGAGTCTGTTGGTGGCCAGGGGTGAAGGAAAACCTATGGGAGATGATGACGAAACGGCGAGCATATAACACATACACATGCGCACGCTGCCAACACCCACGTGAATTTCTCTCACGCAGGATGCCAATTATTGACTTGACATGTTGGAATCTGTCCATGGTGCTGAAATTACTGGTTTCACATTCGCCTGAGGATGTAACTCCACTGCATGGCGACTTAAATCACATAAAGTCACACACTGTGGTGACCTGCCTGCGACACTCTTACAAACTATCATATCAAGACAATATCTTCCCTGTAGAGATATACAGAGACGATCAACAGGTGCACTGCTGAAGACAACAGATCTGAGCCTCTTTATGAATGTTGTATCAATAATAAAATGTTAATACAAACATATAGATTGAGTCTGTCACTGTGTTATAGCCCACCACAGGCTTACATGATCAATAAGAATTAAAAAGTGATACAAAATAAGTAAAAGACACAATTACAATCACTGTTGTTTACATATGTTATGTCCTATATTATTGGAATTAGTGATTTTCCACCCGCAGTTGTTCTAGGCCAATCACTGTGTGTGTGTGTGTGAGATTAGAGATGCGGTTGCGTCACCGGCTCGGCAGCCGGGACAGATGACTGGCGCAGATGTAGAGTCAAGACAGCCAGAACAGAACCGGAAATTTGTTTTTCTAGCCCTTCAAAATAAAGGGGTGAGTGGAACTGGAGAACCTAGAACAGCTGGTTTTATACCACATTCACCTGTTTCATCAGCAGTGAGTGATCTCACAGCTGAGGTTCCCTCTTCAGACTTAAAAGACGGACTGTTAGTGGTTCTGACCTTTTTTCATGCAGGACAGTCCGAAACAACAATCTCCAAACTAGAACAGTGCTGTCAATAATTATTTAACACTGGTATTTCTAGAGCTTTGATTAACTGCCCAAACCCGATTAAACCCGGTTGGACCCGACTCGAACTGCTGGGTTTAGGCCCAAAACTGCTGCCATAGGTCGGGCTCGGACAGAATTAGATTTAAACAAAAATATATATGTAATATTTTATCAATAATGCATGCAACTGTAATTTATGAGTGAATTTGCTATTGATTATATTTTTTCACTGTATTATTTGCACAAAGTAGTTTACTTTAATGTAACAAACATTCAATAACAATAAACAACAAACTATTTCTTGACTTACTTAGCCTATTTAAAGCTGAAATTCATGTTCAGGTTGGACTCAAAACTGCTTCCAGGATTCGGGCTCAGTTCAGGCTCACACAGAATCTTTTGGGCTCAGGTCTGGTCTGATTTTTTGGGCCCGATCATAAATCTCTACTATTTCAACCAAATCGGGTATTCTTGTAACAAAGGTACGCACATGGTAGTCACTAAATGTGGCTTGAGATGTCAACACAATTAAAGAATATGTGTGATTTACAGCCCTTGCAGATTCCAATTTAAATACTTTAAAAAGACATTTAAATTGATAGTTTATATCTGAGTGAAAACTCCAAATATAAAGCTAATCTAATCACACTTCTCCCTAATTATTCTTTCCCATTTTAATGCCGTTAAATGCTCGTTTAAAAACCCTCTTATTTCTAAAGTCCTGGGCGGAAGTGAGCGTGTTAATGCGGTGCAGCTTGTCTCGGCTTGTCTCGGGGCTCCTGGCTCAGATACCATCAGCAGTTTGACAGGACAGCCGAGCCCCGACGCTGCTCACGCGGGGGATGTCCGTCCCACCCTGCCGTGTCGAGAGGAGTCATTGCGCGCGAGCTGTTATAGCAGTGAAGACGCAACTGAAGTGTGTGTGTGTGTGTGTTTATTGTATTGTTTTAGGAAATTAGAGTGACAGCTTCAAGTTTGAGAAGTGGACCTGCTCTCGTGCAGGACATGAGCTCACCTGCTTCAACTTAAACTGCAGGTTCTTTTCTTTTGTTTTGTTTTTAAAGAGCAAAAACGCACCTGAAGTGAAACTGCAGGATGAGACGAGGGGAGGAGGACTCGGACATCACGTTACCGTTTGTGCCGACGGCGTGATTTACAGTTTTTTTTTTCCCACCATGGAGGAGAAGTTCAACAGACTCATCTTCATCCCCGTTGCGGCGGTGCTGTTCCTCATGATCGGCTACCAGTACGTGTGCCCGGCGGACAGCAACACCTGCTACTTCAGAAGTGACGAGAAGGGGCTTTTCCAGCGGTACTCATCGGGGTTTGAGTTGGTTTACACCGAGCCGGAGGCGGACGAGGACCTTCCCTCCAGAATCACATCCAAATTCAACTTCACGGAGCGGGACCTGGACCGGCACGTCGACTTCAACATCCGCGGGGACGATGTGATGGTGTTCCTCCACATTCAGAAGACCGGCGGGACGACGTTTGGGCGGCACCTGGTGAAGAACATCCAGCTGGAGCAGCCGTGCGACTGCATGCCCGGCCAGAGGAAGTGCACCTGTCACCGGCCCGGTAAAGCCGAGTCGTGGCTCTTCTCCCGGTTCTCCACGGGCTGGAGCTGCGGGTTGCACGCAGACTGGACCGAGCTCACCAGCTGTGTGCCGGTAGTGATGAACAAGAGGGACAAGAAGAGTGCCCCGAAGAACAAAAGGTGAGGAGCGACCTGCAGGACAGGTGTAGTCAGTGGGAGGACACTCACTCATTCACTCATTTATTATCTAAGCAGTTCATGAAATGTAGAATGTCATTTGGTCTGTTATTCACTCATTCATATTTCATTCACTCATTGAGTCTCATTTACTCACAGTTAACCATATTCATTCACTCGACTCATTAACTAGTTCACACATTCACTCACTCACTGATATTGTTGCTGATTTTATTAATTCCTTCACAGACTCATCTTCTCAATATTAGTTCACTCACTCATTCACCTCTTTTCTCACCCATTCATTCACTCCCTCACTCACCTCTTTTCTCACCCATTCATTCACTCCCTCACTCACCTCTTTTCTCACCCATCCACTCATTCATTCATTCACTCAATTCATTTCATTCATTCATTCCATTTCATTTCACTTCACTCACTCACTCACTTCACTCACATTCACTCACTCACTCATTCATTCATTCATTCTCTCTCCCCTTTACTCATTAATTCACTCACTTTATTCACTGGTTTGCTCAGTTTCTTAATATGAATTCATTCATTCATTCATTAAGGCAGTTGCAGTAATCTGAGCTGTAATCAATCAATAGTATTGATACTGTTCAATAAGTCATGAGAGTGCACTAACACACAATGAGTGGAGTTCAAATGATTAATTGATTAGTCAATTGATAGAGAATACATTTTAATAATGATCAATAACTTATTGAGCAGAAATGTTGACATTATAAATTGATTATTGTTTTGATTGTTTGTGATTTGAAGACAACACAGTGGGCCTTCGTCACAGTTTGAATTAATTTATTGATTACGACAATAATTATTAGTAGAAGCTTTTTAATTGATGTTTTTTGAGCCTACGAGGAGTTTTGTTAGTAGAGAACGTTACGATACCAATAACAGTGAAATTCCACGATCATTGATACCCAATTTGATACCAATCGTAAAAAAAACCATTAGAAAACAACAACAACAACAACAACAACAACGTAGCCTTAAAGTAATAAATAAAAAGAACATATTGTTGTTTTCATCCTTTAGTTGACTCCCACAGTCTGCGTGTCCCGCTCAGTTATAAAACCCCAGAGCGCCACCCAGCGTCTCAGACTGGAATCACACGGCCACAGTTACAGTTTCGTGGTCATATTGAGACGTGATTTTTATTGATGAAGGCAAAAACCTTCGTCATTACAGAGGATTCCTCCTCCTGCACGCTGCTCAGGCGCAAAACACTTTCCGACATGTGAGAACACGTCTGACACGAACAGTGTCTCCGGATCTGATCCTCAGGACGTTGTTCTCAGTTTATATGTGAAATGTGTTATGTTGCTTTTCCGTGCTGGTTGGTCCTCTTCTTCTTCTACTTCTTCTTCTTGTGACATTTAACTTCTGGGCGTAAATGCTGCCCCCTGTCAGATCTGGAAGAATTGCACTTCCTGGTACCAAAAACGAGAACTTTGACATCGGTTTAGGTGACATCACGAGATTAGAGCGAGCTGTGAATCTTCCTTCACGCGTTCCCAGAGGCACTAGGTCAAAGGTAACTGGGTTTTTAACAGTGCAGGTCGTGGCACTGATTTCTCCCTGGCGTTCAGTTTCCTCCAGGGCTGCTGATGCCAAACACGTGTGCCTAAGGGCATGTAATGCATACAGCACAGAGCTGTTAAAGCTGCAGTATGTCAGCACCAGCAGCCAGCCAGCAAACAGACCTGGCCTCCTCGTCTGAAGGTCTGTTTCAATTTCCTGTAATTACAGAACCGATGGAGCTAAGCTTAAGGGAGTAAATCACTTAAGAAGGGCATGGTCCTCCGAGGTGTGCCGCCTGCGTGTTGAAGCCAATTTACCTTGCGGTCGGTTCAGAGAGCAAATCTCCATATGTTACCCAGAGTGTTAAAGGGGGTCGGCGAGGACGGGGGGAGCTCCTTTCAAGGATCCTCCCAATCCATTAACTATCCTCTGTGGCAGCCATCAGACTTAATTTAACGCTTTTTGTTAAATAAAATTGTTTTTAAGAGGCGCCTCTGAGCCGTATCAGCACTGCGAGTGAATCAACAACACTCCAGTCACGACTTGTCAACTCAACATAATAGTCAGTGAAAAATGAGCGCTCGTTAACGTTGGCACTTGGCTGTGCACGAGGCTGATTGCAGACATGAGATGGGACCAAACATGAGCCTGTGAAGCAAAATTCCTGCTATTAAGTGTTTCATTATTTCTGACAAGAGGAGGTTTGATTTCCACTCACAGAGCTAATGAGTCAGTGAACTCTTGTGGGCGTTGACTGACAGACAGATTCCTCTGCGGTTGGTCGTGGCAGCACCAGACGATATCCGATATGGTACGATGCTGCAGCGAGCGATGTTGAAAAGTACTCACAGATAACGTGATACTTTATTGATCCCTGCAGTTCAATAATCTGCCCCCCCCCCCCTTCCACAGGGGGAGGGTCAGAGGTCACTGCAGCTCCTGAGCAGCCTTTAGGGATTCAACGCTCCAGGACATATTTGTATCTGCTGTGTTTAATGGCCCCGATTATGACATGAAACTAATTCCTTGCTTGTTACGGCTTTGACAAGTGAAGCCCGGTGTGCGCAGTTGTCCCATATGACCAAGTGCACGGTATAGAAATGTATAATTAAGACGAAAAAGGTATCAAGTGTAAGCCACCATGAGTCATAACTCACTCTATATCTGTGAATTTGTTGGGCGAGGAGTGAGTCATAACTCATTCAACAGCCACAAATCTGTCACATGAAGTTCTCATTTCCCCGGGATAATGCCTGGTTGATTTTCTGTCCACACACACAAAAAATATATATACAGGGAACCATTACAGGAAATAGACGAACAATTAAGTGAAGGGCTCCTGTCATTTTATATTAAAAGTGCCGAGTAAAGAACTACACAGAGCTTATTCTGCACTCGATGATGTGTTGCCACGATTTGGATTTGGTGCTAAGGCATGTTACTGCTCAGCTTAATTCAATATTTAATGCTACTCTGTCCAGTTCTGTAAGATCACTCTGCTTTGTTTGTGTTTCAGCCCTGATCCCTCTCTTCTTAAGAGAGGTTAAAGAGTATTATAGTTGTTTTCCCAATATATACATAATCCTCGTTGCTTTTTTTTTTTTTTTTACTGTACTTGGGATCTGGAGTTCAGGCTTAACCAGTGAGAGTATTTCAAAAGGCTGAACCAATTTCAAGCACTCAAAACATTTTGTCTGAGTCTGATTGCAGAAAAACAATCCAACTCAGTCACAGCATGTTGATGCTGGAGGATGACTCCTGTCTTATACAAGTCACATACAGCAACGTGAATGCAAACAGTCAGGGATCAGACGACACCCACACTTATCTTCAGGCTACATCCAGCAGGGTGTGATGTAGTTTGCAGAGAGTCTTATCTGAGCCCTCAGACCCTGCTCTGCGTTATTATAACCACTGTTGTCCAGTTCTACGCACTGAAGCGGCCTCTCTGACGCCCGACCTCCCTCTCACCCTCAACCATTTTACGCCTCTCCTGTCCTGTCCCTACCTCATCTTCCCAGGAGTAAGAGTCCTGGTTGGAGCCTCTGTGAATTACCTTGTTACTGTATTCCCCGTCGTCAAACTAGTCAAAATAAACCCTTTATTCAACACAGTGAGATGTGAAAATATTCTGGCTCTACAGCTGTTTTTCCTCTCACTTGTTCTTCAGGATCAGTGTGTGTACTGTGTCACTGAGCAGTGGCTCTCCTTCTTTGCAGGCAGACCATTAAATTCACAAAATAACACAAAAATTGCCCAAAAACCCACCATAGATGGACTCCAATTTTTTTTTTTTTTTCCAATGGCCTCAACCTAGTCTATACCTGCCTTCTGCAAACCAGAAACTAATCTGATGAACAATGGCTTTTCGTCTTTGCTCAAAGGCTGCACATCTCCTCCAATGAAGACTTGTACAAGTCTGTTGTTGTTTGGAAAGAAAGGTAACCAGGTTTTTTACAAAATGCTGTGAGTTGTGAGCCTTTGAGCAAAGACGAAAAAGTCCTTGTTCATCTAATATTTTCTTTAAAACCAAAGTCAAAAAAATTGGTATATTTTTGTTTTTGTGTAGCAGAAGAATACGTACATAACTGTATATAAAGTAGCTCCACCTTAACCAGCTATACAATAAACACATTGATGCATCAGTAGTAACATCAGAATAATGTAAGGTTAGAATAATTTGCCATTTTTCTTCACAACCAGTACTTACTGTGTGAGAAAGCTTTAACAGCCACTGAACCCCCACTTTACTGTAACTAGCTGCTGCCTCATTTCCCTACTTTCTGTCCCCTGATGAAATATATTCGGGTCTCGGGGGGTTTGTGAAAACAGGTTAAGTGTGACTAAAAATTCTTCAATGTATGGTGAATGTACAGAATAATTCACAGCTCAGTTGTGTCGCTAAGAGATACCTGAAATCCCTTTATTACTGTGCCTCATGAAAAGTCATATTTTGCACATTTAGTGTATGTTGTCCTTTTGAATAAAAGAAGCATCTCTCTGCTTATGAGCACTTTATAAAATCACCTTGAAGTCACCTCTCTCCTACACAGCACACCGGTGTAAACACTAAATACATAAACTAGAGATTGCTATAACCTGGCCATACCTGCAGGATAATGGGTGCCAATGTTTCATGTTCTTTGTGATATTTTTAGCATACAGTATCTTTGCAGTGATTGTGGGTTGTTGACACATGAAACGAGATACCTGCAGAAAAATCTAAAAGAGAAAATGATCACTAATCAACTCCTTGGTTACCAGACGAGTTAGCATAGCAACCAGTTCCAGTTTGGTTCGAGCTCAGCTAGCAACGTTTTATGGGAATTAGTGGCACGGCTTAAACACATCTTTGTCAAATCAGAGCAATTAGGTAAATTTAGCGCTTGTTTAGAGGACACTCCGGCTAAATGGTTCTAATGAGTTTGATCACAACACAGCACATTTCTAAAAGG